ATCGGACATTGTTTCGTTCTGCTGTGCATGGGGTCGCTATGAGTCGGTTCCGACTCGATGGCACCTGACAACAACAACAACAACATATATATCCTGGTGGGATAAGCACTAGACTGCTAACCATAAGGTCAATGGTGGTTCAAACCCACTAGCTACTCCATTAGGAGTGGGAACTTGACAGTACTTAACAACATTACATCAAAAAACAAAAGAAAAAAAGAATTATTAGCCAATCTCAATCCACCCTTAAAAGGTAATTTTATTCCCATTAGTATGCCTTGTAGGATAGAAGCTAAAAAAGTTTTAATTTTTAATATTGCACAAGGACATTTGAGATGAGACACTAAGCTTTTGCAGCAATTTCTAAAAGCATTCACACATGTAAAATAAGGGTATTAGATTAGATGAACTCTAACATTTTGTGATTTTAAATACTACTTCATTTCTCAACAGCTGACAGGGAAAGATCTTAGGTTTAATTTACATTTCAACAGTAGTTCAAATTCTCTGAAAAGATTCTGTTCTCTTATGAAAATCTCTGTAATTCTGAAACTGTCTCTTTTTAAGGCAGTCTTTCTTCAAGATTCCACACCAATGTAATTTCTACAGTCAAGAAAAACAGACCTGTATTCTCCTGGGCCAATATTAAGTATTCTGTTTACTCTCCACAGACTGAGAGTGATAATATTTACTATAATATGACTCTGATTTCTTTCCCCTGTATAGAAGAGCATTTAGTCCTACTTTTAAGATATCAAATTGTACTTAATTTCTAAAGCTTTATATGCTCATCATTTTTCTTTCACTCTAAACATACCATAAAATGGCACATTTAAAACCCGAGAATCATGTCCTAATTCAGGCTCTCTACTGCTCTATAACATGGAACACACTCAAGAGTTAGCAGATCCCTTTCAAAGTGAGTAAATACACAGAACCAACACTCACAGTTTGTTTAAACTGGTGGTATCATTTTCCTAATAAATACAGAGTTGGCCCCATTAAGTTTTGAAAAGGATTGTTGCTATGGATAATCCATTGTGTGAGTACCAGAGGGACAATGAATATTAGCTCTTTTATCAGATTACTGAACTCTACAGAATATTTAGGGAGAATGAGTTTTACTTTTGGAAATTTACCTGTTTAAACAAATGAAGGAACAGGCTATAGCCTTTCTCAGATACCACAGTAATAATCAGTCTCCACTATGTTTGCATGTTTGCCCCTTCAGGTCTCACTGTGACCCCATGTGATAGATGAGAACTACTACTCACTGCTCCACAGGATTCTCAGGACTGTAACGTTTATGGGAGAAGACTGTCACATATTTTCCCCAGGCCATCATGTCTACAGACAGTGAATGATACGAAATCTAATTTTCTGAGTCTTGATAATATTTGCATAAGCAAAGATAAGCATGTAATTGTGTAATTAAGTTTCTAAAACATGGTTATTCACTGATTTGCATTATTTAAAACAATAATCAAAATATTTTGTACATACCCACTGGTGGTGGTGGTGGTGGTTATGTGCCATGGAGTCGGAACCATAGCGACCCTGTACAGGGTTTCCGAGGCTGTAAATCTTTACGGGAACAGAGAGCCTCATCTTTCTCCTGCAGAGCAGCTGGTAGTTTCGAACTGCTGACCTTGAGGTTCGCAGCCTGATTCTTAATCACTACGCTACCAGAGCTCCTTATTATGTTCCCAAAAAATTTTCAAAATTGTTTAAAATTATACATTTAATACAGGAAGAAAAAGTGAGGTACAGAAAAATTAAGGTGAGGAAAGTAAGTGAGAACCTGCAATGAGCTCGCAAACAAAACTGCAAAGTTTTATGTGCTTGACAAAAGGAAAGGACTAAGGTACGCCTGACCCAAGCTATGGTATTTCCAATAACCTCATATGCATGCGAAAGCTGGACAGTGAATAAGGAAGACCGTAGAAGAATTGATGCTTCTGAGTTATGGTGTTGGAGGAGAATATTGAAAGTGCCATGGGCTGCCAAAAGAACAAACAAATAATAAAAATTTTTTTTTAAAGAGAGATTTGGAAAAAGTGCAGCCAGAGTGCTCCTTGGATGGCCAAACTTCGTCTCTCATACTTCGGACATATTGTTAGGAGGGACCAGTCACTGGAGAAGGATATCATGTTTGGCAAAGTGGAGGGTCAGAGAAAAAGAGGAAGACCCCCAACGAGATGGACTGGCCAAGTGGCCGCAGCAATGGGCTCCGCCACAGCAATGACTGTGAGGTTGGTGTGGGACAGGGCAGTGTTTCGTTCTTTTATGAATAGGGTCGCTAAGAGTTGGCGTCAACTCAGTGGCACCTAACAACAACAACAATAGCTAAAGGCAGAGAGAGACATAATTAGGCTAAGAACTAACCAAACTGCTCTTGAAAAACTCAGAAGTAAATTCTCCTTCAGGAGTTCACAGAGAAGAAATCCTAGGCTCATGTAATGGAGAAGCCCCTTCATTCCCACCACATTAACTGTTAAGTAAAGAAGGACCCCAGAGCAGTAGATGGACACTGAAGCCAGCTTTTGCCTTTGAGATTTACTAAACAGAGAGAAGCTACATTTCCATTTTCTTAAACCTTCAGTAGATCAAGAGTCAAGAAAATCTGAAAAATCAGTACATTTATTATGAAAAATAATTTTCAGTAAATGAAAATGTCTTACCAAAACGATATCAAATTAAACATGAAATAAATTGCTGCTGTTGTTAAGTGCCATCGAGTTATTTCCAACTCATAGGGTTTCCAGGGAGCAGCTGGTGAAGTAAATCACACAAGCTAAATAAGGTGAAAGAAACAAAAGCTAAGCAATAATCTACGTTGTTATCATTGTTAGGTGCCATCTAGTCAGTTCTGACTCATAGCGACCTTGTGCACAACAGTACACTGACCGGTCCTATGCCAACTTCACAATCACTGCTACACTCACTGCCGCTGTCTCCGTGCCACTTCATATTGTTGGACATCTCCCTCTTTTTCACTGACCCTCAACTTTACCAAGCACGATTGTCTTTCTCTAGGGACTGGTCTCACCTGATAATACGTCCAGAGTATGAGATATGAAGTTTGTACATCTTGGTTTCTCTAAGGAGCATTCTGGTTGTACTTTTTCCAACACAGACCTGTTTGTTCTTCTGGCAGTCTGTGGTACTTTTAATATTCACCTCCAACGCAGTAACTTAAGTACATCAATTCATCTCCGGTCTTCCTTATTCATTGTCCAACTTTCACATGCATATGAGCCTATTGAAAATACCATGGCTTGCATCAGTCGCACCTTAGTCTTCAAACTGACATCTTTCCTCTTCAACATTTTAAAGAGGGTTTGTGTAGCAGGTTTGCCTAATACAATACAATCATGATGTTATTTACTGTTCCAGGGGTAAAGACTTTTGTTTTCTTTACATTGAGGTGCAACCCAAACTGAAGGCTGTGGTCTTTTATCTTCATCATTAAGTATTTATGTATCTATCAGCCATAATTTATTTTTCATCACTAATAGCTTTAAAAATTATTACATATATAAGGAGCTCTGTTAGTGTAGTGGTTACAAGTCAGGCTGCTAACCTCAAGGTCAGCAATTCAAAACTACCAGCTGTTCCATGGGAAAAAGATGAGGTTTTCTGCTCCCATAAAGATTTATAGCCTTGGAAACCTTACACAGGGTC